CCACAAGCTTGGTGGTTTAAACTCACCAGCCACTCCTTGGAAACCCTGCAGAATGTCACTATGAGTCAGAACCTATCCTAGGGCACTTAACAAAAACAACAACAAACATAATGCCCCTATGTAGCCCTGGTGGCACTGTAAGATAAGCATTGGACTGCTAACTGCAAGGTCAGCAATTCAAACCCACCAGCCGCTCTGTGGGAGAAAGATGAGGCTGTCTGTTCATTAAAGATTTACAGTCTCAGAAACCCTATCCAGGCTCACTATGAGTCAGAATGGACTCAGTGGCCGTGGGTTTAAACATAATGCCTGACATCTAGTGTTGAGTAAATATTTGTTGCAAGAATGATTAAACAAATGAACCAATAAGTATCTGTCATTTTACCATCAAAGTGTTCTAATTTGGTGGTCTCACAGGTTCCAAAACTCCAAATGTTTCAGGAAAGAATTATTGATAAACATTTCCAAATGACAACAAAGTAAAGGTTGAAAAGTGACCTTTGGATTTCACTATTAGGACTTTGGTTCCCGTAAATGAAAACAGATAAGCAAAATTGTTGGGTGAAATCATATGGAAACAACACAGGAGAAGTTCACCACCCCCACCGCTGCTTCCCCCTCCAAGATATGAGGTTAAAGGGAAAAAGCCATTGGAGAGGAAACCATTAGCTATGAGAGAAATGAATTCGTTATCATGGTAATTAAGCATTTGATTTCCTACCTACCTGTTAAGATAATGTGTATCTCCCTCTTCTGCAGGCTTTGATTGTTGTTGTTGTTGTTAGGTGCCATCCAGTAAGTATGCTGCGACCTTATGCACAGCAGAATGAAACACTGGTGGGTCCTGGGCCTGCCTCACTACTGTTGCCACGCTTGAGTCCATCGATGCTGCCACTTGGCCAGTCCATCTCATTGGGGGTCTTCCTCTTTTTCTCTGGCCCTCCACCTTACCAAACATGATATCCTTCTCCAGTGACTGGTCCCTCCTGACAACATGTCCGAAGTATGAGAGACGAAGTTTGGCCATCCTGGCCTCCAAGGAGCACTCTGGGTGCACTTCTTCCAAAATGGATCTATTGGTTCTTTTGGCAGCTCATGGCACTTTCAATATTCTCCTCCAACACCATAACTCAAAAGAATCAATTATTCTACAGTCTTCCTTATTCATTGTCCAGCTTTCGCATGCGTTATGAGGTGATTGAAAATACCATACCTTGGAGGTCAGGTGCACCTTAGTCCTTAAGCTGACATCTTTGCTCTTCAACACTTTTAAAAGGTCTTGTGCAGCAGATTTGCCTAATACAATACGTCGTTGTTTGATTTCTTGACTGCTTTTTCCGTGAGTGTTGATAGTTGATCCAGGAAGAATGAAGTCCTTGACAACTTCAATCTTTTCTCCATATATAATGCAAATTAGAGTTTTTGCTATACTGTTTTAGTCCCCCTAGTGGCAAATTGTATAATGACATGAATTTGGCCTAATATGCCAAGTATTTCTTAAGCAGGGGATTGTTGTTGTTGTTAAGTACCACAGAGTCGGTTCAGACTCATAGTGACCCTACACAGGGTTTCCAAGGCTGTAAGTCTTTATGGGAGCAGAAAGCATCATCTTTTTCCCATGCAATGGCTGGTAGGTAGAAGGTGGGAAATGTGAATATAATAATTATAGTGATGCTTAGTTCTGTGATATTCAGAGTATCTTCTGACATCCATTTTAGTCTTTTCCTTCTTTCTTGTCTCCTTTAATGACCTTGTGCTTTCTTCCTGTATGATGTTCTTGATGTCATACCACAACTCTTCTGGTCTTCAGTCATTACTGTCGAACGCTTCAAATCTGTTCTTGAGATGATCTCTAAATTTAGTTGGGGTATGTACAAGGTCAAATTTTAGCTGTCATGGACTTGGTTTAATTTTTTTCAGCTTCAGCATAAACTTGCTTATGAGCAGTTGATGGTCTATTTCCCACCGTCTGCCCTTGACCTTGTTTTGGCTGATAATAGGGAGCTTTTCCACCATCTCTTCCCACATTTTGCTTGGATCTACTATCAACACTCATGGAAGTAGCAGTCAAGAAGTCAAATAGCGTATTGCATTAGGGAAGTCTGCTACACAAGATCTCTTTAAAGTGTTAAAGAGCAAAGATACCAGTTTGAGGACTGAAGTACGCCTGACCCAAGTCATGGTATTTCCAATAGCTTCATATGTGTGTAAAAGTTTAAAAGTTGAACAGTGAATGAGGAAGACCATAGAAGAATTGATGCATTTGAGTTATGGTGTTAGAGAAGAATATTAAGAGTGCCATGGACTACCAATAGAGCAAATAAATTGGTGAAAAAGAGGAAGACCCCATTGAGATGGATTGGCGCATTGGCACCAGCAATGGGCTCAAGCGTAGCAACAATTCTGAGGTTGGTGCAGGACCAGACAGTGTTTTGTTTTGTTGTTCATAGGGTCACTATGAGTCAGGAGCAACTCAGCAGCACCTAACAATAACAATAGGAGTCATCATAAAAAACAAGGGAAAGAAAGAAGTGGCAGGAGTGGGTAGGTGAGAAGACAAACAGAATCAAAAAAGAAAAATGTAGGCGGGGATAGGATAAAAAAGCAAGGGAAAGTAAAGAAAGGAAGAAAGAATAAACAAAAACAGCAAATGCCAGAGAGGAGAAAGCTCTGGGGACTCCTGCCAGCCAAAGATCTAACGCAGTGGGTGGGCGGGCATGGATGAGGCAGCGGAATTTGCACATGTGAATTTCCTATAGACTTAGGTGTTTTCTGTTCAGAAGAAGCTCATAGGGACCCTAAAGAATCTGGATCATGGTTTTTCCATCCAAGAGGGCAGCTGGTGGTGAGTTCCTGGTAATCCAGGGCCGGCCAGATCTGGCTCTGCAGGTCTGGAGCTAGCCTCCATGGAGTCCAGGTGGTGGGTTGGTGCGAATAGCTGTCTCCTCACTTTGGTGCACTTAACAACTGCATGGCTCACTACTAGAGAGCAGGAGTTTCATTGGGGGTGGGGAGGACGGGTGTATGTAGGTGGCGACTGGCCATGCCTCTGATCACCAGAGTAATATGGGAAACAAGAAAAATAATCACCCCTTTCTCTCCACCAGTAAACATAGTCTTTGTACCACCAAGCTGTCCTCCGCCATCCAAAAGCTGCCATGAAAGTTCAAAATGACCACATAGGTCACTTGCCTGTCTCTGGTTTTCCTCCGCATGTGCTAAGCTGCTTCTTCTAGAAGCATATATTCCACTTATTTTTTTCCTTCATTTGCATCATGTTTCCTTTAGCTTTCCGCATCTTTGTTTCAAAGGGTCTATGTGATGTTTCTGCCTAGTCCACCTTGCAAGGTGCTCATGAGTTATTAAGACTTCAGTTGCTACTCACCAAACCAGGATATAGAACAGTTTCTGTGTGAACTATGCTATGCCAGTTGACCTTGGTATCCCCTAAGGCTATGATCCTGAGCGCCTAGGTCCAGGTGTTTGTTTATATATGAGAAGTTTTCATAGCTTTGTCTCACCACATCCTTGAGTACATTTGCTACAAAGGTAAATACCCATGTATAAATATCCTCTTTCAAACCTGTATATATTTCGTGGTATACTCCCTCTCTCCATCACACATGTTCAGCTTGTGTGTGTATCCATGTTCTTCTTGTACTTTCCCTCCTTAGATCCAGTTCCTGGCTTGCTCACCTTGGCTCACTCTAGGTTTATCTACACAGTTTCTCTGTCTCCTGTTGGGAATTCTGTGCCGTTGTCTTACTGTGCTCTTCACCTGCTGGCTTTGTCTCAAGGTGGCCACGCTGCCCCAGGCTGACTGGCAGGGCAACTGGACTCCATATCTCTGTCTCTTGTTAATTGCCTTTTCTTATCAGTATCTTTATAAATCTGATATTTAGTAACAATAAAATATACACAAACATTAAAGGATGGTTGTGTGATTTGTCATAAGTTGAGGATTACCAGTGTTTACAAAATGACTGTTGCTAATCTTTTTGTTTATATTTTAAAGAGAGATATAAAATCTTACAGATTAGTGGGAAGATAGATAATTGTTATGTGCTGTGGAGTCGGTTCTGACTCATAGTGACCCTGTACAGGGTTTCCGAGGCTGTAAATCTTTACGGGAGCAGAAAGCCTCATCTTTCTCCCATGGAGCGGCTGGTAGTTTCGAACTGCTGACCTTAAGGTTCGCAGCCTGATTTGTAACCACTATGCTACCATAATAGTCACTTATAAATTTTGTAACCTCAGTTGACAACAATTTCCTTTATTTTCTGGTAGGAACATTCTGTTTCAGTCTTAGAAACTGAGTTATCAGTTGAAGCAAAAACCAAACTCATTGCCAATGAGTTAATTCCAACTCATAGTAACTCTATAGAGTGGAATAGAACTACCCCACAGGGTTTCCAAGGCTGGTAGGTTCTTTTCTAATCGCCACAGCCTCTCGGTTAGCATCTGAGTTTTCATGGAGTCATGAAAACGGGTATGTGTAATTTAAAGGTTATATACTACAATTTCATATGCTTTCCTTCTCCTTCTTTATTAAATTGTTATTTAAACACAACATAAGAAATTAACATTTTAAGAAGTTGCTTACTCATTTGAGATTAGTATACTTAGTTTTCATTTCTCTTAAAAAGTCTCTAGGTGAAGTCGACTCACCAAAATTGGATGTAGAACATTGTCTTTGTGAACTATGCTATGTGCATTGACCTTGATATCCCTGAGACTATGATCCTGAAATATGAACAAACTAAAAATATTTTGTTAATATTTTACTTTCTCTTTACGATTTCCTGGGTATTTGTGAATTTTATAATTAAATGGATCTACCAAAATAAATGGCCTGTATTAATTATGCTTTGATTCATATTTCATCTATTTGGTTTTGGTACATAATATCAATGATATATTATACGATAATTTATAATTATATATATTAATATATAAAATGTATTGACACTGTATTAATTTTAAATTTTTTATCAGAAACCATGATTGGAGGATCTCAAGTCCACATTTTTTGGGGTGCTCCAGTTCTTCCACTGAAAATGACGGTATCACAGGAACCAGCTTCTTTAGTACCTACTGCTGACTGCTGGAAAACAGTTCAGCTTTTGCACAATAAACATTCTTTACATCTGAAGGATGAAAAATGCAAACACCAAAACCTTGGAGATTATCAAATCCTAGACAGTATTGTCCCCCCAGGTCTTAATAGTCATTGTTTTGTGAACACCAGAGAAAGATCTGTTCATTTGGAAAATGACTTTTTATGTTGTGTTTCTGAAACACAGAATATAGTATCCCAGAAGAGCCCTCCCTCTAGGATGAATGATGTACTGGACTCTAGTGTTCAAGTAGATGGATTTAAGAGCAGAGTTCAACATTTAACTGAGGAAGAAAAATATCAAAAGCTTGCCAGTGAAAATAAGAAAATTACAGTTGAACAGCATAAAGATCAGTCAAATACCCATGCTCCAAACTTCAAAGAAGCAACCTTACAGTTAGATCAAAAGTCTGACGCTATATTAGATTTGGTCTGTATTACCAAAGAGATTAACATAGGGCCAGAAGCTGCAGAGCCACCATGTGTGCTAAGAACATATCATGAAGTGCAAAACCAATGTCTGCAATTCTCTCCCTCTAAGACAGTAGATAAGCCAAGATCTAAAGGAGCAGTTACAAATGTCTCCAACTGCAAAATATCTACTGATACTGAATTTCTCAGCATAATGACCTCCAGTCAGGTTGCTCTTTTAGCTCAGAGGAAGTATAAAGGGCAAAATTCGCTAAGTAAAGGAGCCGGAAACATGACGATTGGACCAAATTTAAGTCATGAGAAAATAGGAGTAACCAAAGATAATTTGATTCAGCCTCTTGATGATTTTGCAGAAGATTGTATAAGTGGACAAAGCCAAGCATATTCGCCTGAACTTTTTAGTCCTGTTTGTCCTAAAACAAAAAGTAGCCATGTATTCATAAATTCTGATGCAGATCTTAAAGACAAAATAGGATCTCAAGAACTTTTCAGTACTGAAGAAAACCAGCTGCCAAATGAAATCTGCATTGAGTCATACAGCTCAGGAATACTGTATTCCCAACACAGTACTTTACATAAAAGTTCTATAAAAAGAAGTTGGACATCTGAAGATAAAGCAGGTCATTCTAAAGTTCTACCTAAAGTCCTCCAAGTATCTAAGAAAATGAAGTTGCTTTCTAATGCAAGAGATCTTGCAGTAACACTGGACCAGAGGAACATGTCTGAATTTAAGTATGTTAAAAAAACATCATTAATAAAAAATTGTGGTTCTAAAAGTCAGAAGTATAATTGCTTAGTCATGGTGTTATCACCATGTCATGTGAAAGAAGTCAGCATAAAATCAGGACCAAACGCTGGCTCTAAAGTACCCTTAGCAGCAATCACAGTTACTGACCAATCAGAAATGAAGAAGAAGGTTCTTATGTGGCGGACTACAGCATTTTGGGCACTTACTGTGCTTCCTGGAGATATAATTCTACTCACAGGTGAGGTTATCCTGGTGTTTGTTTTATAAAGCTAAGTTGAGTTTTAGGGGTTTGCCCCTCCACTTTAAGTCCCCTGGAACTCTCTTGGCCATCTTCCTCTTCCTGTTTGACCCCACCATGATTGGTCGTATTACAGCATCCGCAGTGGTCTGTAGCTTTCCTCAGTATCCTGATCGCTGTCATCTCTGGGCCTTTGCTCTGCCCTTCTTAGCTATAGCCTTCTGTCTCATTCATTTTCTACTTTCAAGAGAAGCCTTTCCTGGTTGTCCCCGTTACACATTTACTATGTTAGTGTTCGAGTCCTAGCAGCAGGCTTGCTCTTTGGTTTGTCTGTGTAGGTCCTTTTGTCTAATCTCTTAATTGTATCAGCAGTCCGATGATGAAAGGATGGCATTTCAGCGATTTTATTTATTACTAAAATTATCTTGAGTACATTTGGGAATACATAAAGGAGAAAAAACTCCTGGTAGCATACCATACTATAAAAAACCTATTGCCACCAAGTCAACTCGGACTCATAGCAACCTGTGTAGGGTTTCTGGGGCTGTACATCTTTGTTATTGTTGTTAAGTGCCACTGAGCCATTTCTGACTCATAGTATAGTGTTTCCAAGACTAAATCTTTATGGGGGTAGAAAACCTCATCTTTCTACTGAGGAGTGGCTGGTGGGCTTGAACGGCCAATCTTGTGGTTATCCTATAATTATCCAACCACGTATCCTGTAGCACACTAACCTCAGTAATTATCCTATAATTATCCAACCAAGTATCCTGTAGCACACTAACCTATAATTATCCAACCAAGTATCCTGTAGCACACTAACCTATAATTATCCAACCAGTTATCCTGTAGCACACTAACCTCAGTAAAAACGTGGAGTGTTTCTTTCTGGTCATTTCCATATGTGCTTTTATATGTGTATATATATATACATGTGTAAGGAGCTCTGGTAGCATAGTGGTTACGAATCAGGCTGCGAACCTCAAGGTCGGCAGTTTGAAACTACCAGCTGTTCCGCGGGAGAAAGAAGAGGCTTTCTGCTCCCGTAAAGATTTACAGCCTCGGAAACCCTGTACAGGGTCGCTATGAGTTGGAACCAACTCCACGGCACATAACAACAACAACAACAACGTATACATGTGTGATTGATGGTGTTGTTGTTTAGTGCTGTTGAGTCTCAGTTCTAACTCATATCAACCCTGTATAGGTTTCCGAGGAATAGCTACTGGGTTTAAACTGCTGATCTTGTGGTTAGCAGTCGGGTGCGTATCCTATAGCGCAGTAGTTGTTTAGAGCTATTAAATTGATTCCAACTCATAGTGACCCTGTGTAGTGTTTCCAAGAAGTGGCTAATGGGTTTAAACCTCTGACCTTGTGGTTCAAACTGACCTTGTAGTCCAACACATTAACTCTCAACACTATACCAGGACACCATATACAGGTAGTCCCTGGTTTAACAGTGGGCTTCTGTTTTGACAATTCCTTTATAAGTCAAGTACCTCATTTTTCTCCAGTTTTCATTTTTACTGCCTTTTTAAAAAATTGGTATCTTTATAAATCTGGTCTTTATTGTGTAGGGGGGTTGGAAACATTACATATAAACTCACAAATATAATTGCATCAGCAAAGTACGTACTGCAGCACTGTATGTAGCACACGATACTAATGATAAAATGTCAAAAAAAAAAAGACAGTTGTTAAGTGTAGTTCATTGTAACGAATCTATCATAAATCAGAAACTGACTATAGTTGTAATTATTATAAAGAACATACAGTTTTTATCCTGTGTTTTTGGGTAACATCTAAAATTTGGTGTTACATGTTCTTTGTTGGATGTTTTTAAAATCAATACATAGTGGTTTTAGAAGACAAGCTGAGTGTCAGACCAGGAGGAAGTTAATTAAGCTTAATAGTGTATCTAAAAAAGGAGGTATAGTGGTCAGTCTTGTTAGGTGCCGTCGAGTTGGTTCCAGCACATAGCGGCCTATGTACAACAGAACAAAACACTACACGGTTCTGCACATCCTCACAATTCTTGTATTTGAGTCCATTATAGCTGTCACCATGTCAATCCATCTCATTTGGGGGTCTTCAAGTCCCTAGAGAAGATCAGTTTTAGAGCTTAGAAAAAGAAAACTTGAAAGTAATTATTGTAAGTTTTCACCAGTTTGCAGGGGATTGAAAGCCTTAGCTAATATATTTTGTTATTTCCTGTATAATTGTTAGGAGCACTCCATAATAAAGAGATAAACATGGGAGATTGTAACTGTCAGACTTGGCATTGTTTGGTCAGACTGGCATATTATCGTCCTTTTTTGGATGGAGACATTTCATCCAACTTGTTTGGTTTTGACTCAGTGATCAGTGAGAGTCTTTTTGCAGTGGCAAGGTAATGGGCGAGTATAATCAATAGGTGAGATATTGGGGGCAAAGGGCAGGAAGGGAGAGGTAAGCATTCAAATTGTTGATCTGATTGGTAACACAGAAATCAGATGGGTCGTATAAGAGGAAAAGCTGGTTTCGATTATGCTGAATATGAGGAGCGGTTAGAACTCCAAGTCAGGACTATTCATTATGCAGTTACTATAGTTAAGGAGGATCTGCAATACAAATTTGGACGCAATCCCTTTGAATTTCATGTATTCTTGTTTTCCTTTTCCATGATCTCTAACTCATTTCATTAACTCTGTTTTCCTTTAATACTTTGTACCCTGATATTATCCTGCCTGGGCCACCTCGCTTTCTTTATAGTTTTTTACTTCTAGTTTTGCCTTACCAAAAGTAAAAAAACTAGTTTTTTACTTCTAGTTTCTGGAGTCCTGGTGTGGCACTGTAGGATAAGCACTGGACTTATCCTAACTGAAAGGTCAGCGATTTGAACCCACCAGCTACACTTCAGGGGAGCCTGGTGTGGCACTGTGGATTAATGTACTGGACTGCAAAGTCAGTTTGAATTGCGTTGTCAGCAGTTCAGTCTCACCAGTCGCTCCTTGGAGACCCCTACACAGGGTTGCTGTGGGTCGGAACCAACTTGATGGCACTTAACAACAACAACAGCTGCTCCTCATAAACCCTATAGTGGGTCACTTGAGTCCAAACCGACTCAGCAACGCTTAAGAACAAACAACAGTGGTATGTTTACTTCCACTAAGTGATTCTTCTCTATCATCTTTTTTTCTCACTGGAAAGTACTTCTTACTTCCAAAGTCTTTCACTTTTAACATTTATGGAAGATGATTGTTGTTGCATTAAAAAAAAAATGATCAAGAGTTCTCTAAGAGCGTCATATTCAGACATGTTTACAGGAGAAGAGTTTGATGCATACTGAATATTGTTTGCTCTTTGGGGTACCATTGCTTTGGGACCTTGATTTTGCTCCTTGGCCGGGAAAGAGTTGTAAAAACAAACAGTTAATAGAAATTTGCATACATTGTAACATTTGCCCTATTTAAACAAAAGCCATTAAAATCTTTGTGGAACAGTGATCTTCTATACTGATAAATGTTGAGTAGACAGACTGAAACAACTCTGTTATTTACCTATGTACAGATAAACCTAGGTTCAGATGGCAGAATTGCTGTTTTATTATTTTGTGCCTTTAGGCAGATCCTTTAACCTATCTCAACTTCAATTACATTGCTTGTGGGAGGTATGAATAATCTGAAGGGATTTATGTCATGATCAAAACTTTTTTTCCCCCTCTCTAGATGTTATGATTCATGAGGATCAATGGGTTGGAGAGACAGTACTACAATCAACATTTACCACTCAGTTATTAAATCTTGGAACTTACTCATGTGTCCAGCCTGAAGAATGTAAGCACATGTTGAATACAGTAATTTCTTAGCATTTAAAATATATAAGCATAATAATAGGAAAGAAAAGACTTTTACAACATGTTTTCTAAACAGGTTAGTTGTAGATGTTTATTTTCTTCAGTTAGAATGAAAATATAAGTTAAAAAATGAACTTGTATAATTAAATTTATTTTAAAGTATTAGGATTCTCGTTTCATTTTCTTATTTTTCTAAGAGAATAAGTGTAGTGGTAGAGAGTCATAGAGCTCTTTGTGAAGCTATGGGCCATTTCTCCAACTTGTTCAGTTTTGACTCAGTGTTCAGTGAGAGTCCTTTTGCAGTGGCAAGGTAGTGGGCGAGTATAATCAATAGGTGAGATATTGGGGGCAAAGGGCAGGAAGGGAGAGGTAAGCATTCAGATTGTTGTT